AGTGGTCTCGATAGAGGGGAAGTGGTCTCGATAGAGGGGAAGTGGTCTCGATAGAGGGGAAGTGGTCTCGATAGAGGGGAAGTGGTCTCGATAGAGGGGAAGTGGTCTCGATAGAGGGGAAGTGGTCTCGATAGAGGGGAAGTGGTCTCCATAGAAGTTGGAAGAGCATCAGTAGTCTTTTTGCTTCCGGGAAAAGACGTCACCTTATCAAAACAAAAACAACAGCAAACAAACAAACACACAAATGTCTTTGCTTCTCAACCGGTTTACAAAGGCGCGTTTTATTTTATACGAAGATGAAAAAAACATATCGCCTACTCTGTCCAGCTCGCCGGCCTATAAGTTTTCACCAAACTTCAGCACTTCTCAACGGTTGATGGCAATCTATTGTTTTTAAAGGAATCAACATTTGAAGGGTGTTCGTTGGCCGTGGGGTAATTCCATCTGCGTGAAACGTTCTCGGCTTGGTTCTTGCTTCTTCGGGTCAGGGGTTAAAGTTGAAATTATTTACATTCCTTCAGATAAGTGTAAATTGGATGACTCATCGGAATCGATTTCCCTTAAAATGCTTTTTTAAAAAAAAAAAAAAATAATAATAATAAGTTCGATTCACACGTCAATTTAATTACTGATCCTCTTATTTTCTTCAGTTAAAGAGAACCTTTCAAGCAGAAATCAAAGCGATGTTAGAATACTGGGTTAAGTTCATGAGTTCAAACTATTGAGTAGATAAAACAGAGCTTGTAGCTAGGGTTTTTAAGAGCACTATATTTTTTTTGAGTGCATTTATCGCCCATATGAGGTTAATGGAAAGCTGGTAAAACAATTGAATATTTAACACATGATTTAAAAAATATAATTGATTTTATTTTACTATAGTTAAACCCTCTTTTATTCATCCAAAACAAACAACAGGCAAGGACAATATAAATATACTTCTTCCTCCCTCTTCCATCTTCTTTTAACCTTTTTAAAAACATGTATTCTTCTTTAAAGCTGAAAAGTTCAACAGCCGACTGGACGTGGTCTCGATATTGCGGCGACTTGAAAGGTCTTCAGGACATCAGCTCCGAGGAAGTGATGAACGCCATGCCCGATATAGAATGTGGTTTCATGTGCTTCCTCCACCACAGTAAGGTTGTGTTCGAGTTCACGCCCAACCTCAACGGATGCGTTTACACCTGCTCGGCGCTGGAGACGTCCGGAAATGCTACCGGGGACGTCAAAGCGGATAACGTAACTCTGAGCGAAGATCCCAAACGAAAGACGATAAAAAGTGATACAGGTATGAGGGAGACAAAAAAGGTGGTCGCGGCCGTAATCCGCAAGGTCTGCAAAGTGGCTGGTCAACTTGATGTTATCAGGGATGGACATTAGCGAAACCAAGTTTGGGAAAACCTGAATGAAAAAAAAATAGCACGTAGCCGTAATGTAGTATCTGAGAGGACAGCTAGAGGAATACTACATTACAGCTGTATTTTTTTTTTGGTTGAAAATTTAGTTCTGTTTGTATTGTTGTTTGTTTGCTGTGCTTCTTGGCAATACTTTTTCTTTCCTCTTCAGGTTTTCCCAAACTTTGTTTCACTCATTTCCATTTTTCCAACCTGATTTCCGTCCCTCCCCCTTATTACCATTTTACCAGAGGTGGGGAGGAGAAACGGTGGTATCATTGGCTTACAGCCATTAGCAAACCCCGCAGTAAAGAAAATCGTATTTTCTCTCCCTTGATTACCATGAGGTGATATAATAAAATTTTGACGAGTTTTAAGAAATAATTTTATTTATAAAATGTTCATTCTTGCCACTTAAGACCAAAAACTGATTTGAATTGTGGGAAAAAATATAGAGATTTTAAAAAAGTAAATAATTAATTGAGTTTGAAAAAGCCAAACTACTAAAAAAAAAAAGTTTGTAAATTGTGTTTCTACACTTTATACTATAGTTTAAATTCTTGGTTGGTATTTCGTTACAGCTCAAACGTGTTCCAGCAGTTTGAGGTTACAATATCTGAAAGCTGTGTTGGGGACGCTGTTTAGTGCGTCCGTCGGGCTAATCTGCTTAATTCACTACCTCGCCTTAAGACCAGGTATGGCTGATGGATACGCGGACTGGAGATATGGCGTGTGCCGGGTGGTGAATGGGCAGCTGACTTTAATTATGGAAGGGCAGAAAACAGACTTGTACCAGTGGTGTATGGGAGACATACTTTTACCAGGGCTGGATGGGTAGGAAAAATGTGTGCAGACTGGATGGAAATGGGACTGACATGTACCATGTGCTGATAGGAAACAGACTTAAATTACTGGTGGATAGGAAACTGGCTTGTACCAGGGGTTGATAGAAAAAAAGACTTGTACCCATCCCAGGCCCTAACAATTGCGGGGCCCTATGCGAAAAGGATTGCCCGGGGGCCCAGTCTGGGTAGGGATAAGGATAATAAGTGAAAATTTAGATTTTGTATTAGAAAGTGGGGCCTCTGAACCTGCGGGGCCCACAGCGGCCGCATAGGTTGCAGTGGCCTCAGGCCGGCCCTGCTTGTACCACAGATGAATTAGAAATTCACTGGTACCAGTGCTTTAAAGCCATTAAACAAGCATTAAAGACTATGGCTGAGCCAGGTACTGACCCAGGATACCCGGAAACGCATCATGTTAGCATACCCGCAATACACTCGGACCCGGAGAAGGGAAAGAACCGGGTCCGGTTGTTAACAAAGAGTTAGCTTCTTGTTTTCCACAATGCATTTCACCCAATGGGGCCAAATATAAAATCAGTGCACACTTTTTTCAATAATTTTTATGTACATTTACATTAAATAAATAATAGAAAACTGAACAGCGATCAGTGTGAAACTCCATGTAAGCGTAATGAAACTGAAATGCTTTCAATGCTTCCAATCGGGTGTAATTTTTTTGTGTTAGTAAGATGGAAATCTTTGGTTATGACCATGGCGCTTTCATTTTTGTAAATTACATTATATATGTTATATAAATTTATGTTCTTTGTGTCCCACCCCACAAACATTCTCGCCCCCCCCAACTCACTTACCTAAGGTGTGTGTGTGTACATCAAAACGTTTATGGGGGATTGGCTTATAGTGCATCACTACAGAGTTCTCGGCCCACTGAGCCTCTATTTCTACTTCCCTCCACCCTCCATCAAACTTACGTCATCAAATCTTTTTAATCTACTGTAAAGCTCTTCTCCCCCCCCCACTCCTCTCATCCGTTTCTCAATTTCAAGGTTTAATTCTGGTTGTGAGCCCCCACCCCCCCCCCCAAAAAAAACACAAAAAAACAACAACAACAAAAAACGTGGTAATGTTTTAAAGAGGTCACGGCACTAAAAAAAAGAGAGTTGAGAACCGCTCGGTAAGGATTATATTATTGAAGCTAATAGCGTTTTGCAGCCTTCAACTTTGATGCCTTCGTGATCGCTACTGGTTCTATACTCGAACTGTATACACCCCCCATTGTCTTAAGCACATTGAAGAAAATAAGATGATAACTCGGTTTTCTTTTATAACACCCTGACTCGGACCCACCGGGTATTTTCTCAAAATACCCGGACTCTATTTTCTCTATTTTCTCAAAATACCCGGACTCGGTGTTTCAAAACTGCACCAGGCTCAGCCCTACTAGAGACAGTCATAGCCAATCAGGAATTTACGTTGGACGTTTATAACCAACAAGAAAGATTGCCCCAAAAAACACCAAAAACACCAAAAAAAATTTGTTAAACAGTTTCAGCAGTGAAAAAAGTAAACTAAAAGAAAACAAAGACAAAGTAAACTTTTCACGCGCGCTATTTTCTAACGATTGCATTTCAATCTATTTCAGTACTGAAACGCATAGAAGAGGAGAATTTAAAAGCTAGACTCCGCGCCAAACACGCTCAGGATAAACTGTCCTTCGGTCAGTATCATTCTTCTCTGCTAGCCATTTCTCTATAGAGCAATATATAACTGGATCTCCGTCTCTCTCTCTCTCTCTCTCTCTCTATGACTTATCGATATTGGGACAGCTTTGGCCACATCGTCATGACTACCATAGCAAGAAGTACAATTATTACACCATTTGCGGTTGTTGCTGATTTTTTTTAATTGTTTTTTTTTAGAGCAGCAGGTTTTATGTATCAGGTGCACCGATGCTTTTGCCTCAATAGTCAATAGTTAGTGTACAGCTATAACACTAGAATCTGAGCTTTTTCCTCAATAGTCAATAGTTAGTGTACAGCTATAACACTAGAATCTGATTGAATTTTAATTTAATTAAACAGCTCCTAAAAAAAATTAATAATATCCAGCTATTAAATGGGGTGGGGGTGTAACACTGAAAATTTCCAAAACATGCATACAAGTAAGGCACTTTATAAGAATCCCAGTTGGTGTCCCCCCCCCCCCCCCCCCCCCACCCAAGTTTCGCAACTGAAAAATTGTTCACGCCCTGGAACTATATTAATATTCTTATGTCCCACCCGCTTCTTATTACACCAACTGCTTCTGTCAAACAAAATAGAATATGCACGCAGCAAACCCACTTGCAGTATTTTTTTAAAGAATCTCATTTAGCGCAGTTATCGGGAATTTTACTTTTGCGAAATGAGGGCCATCATATTTTCTTCATCTTCCCCCCTTTTTTAAAAAAAAGAAGGAAAAACTGATTTTCTTGGATGTTGGTGTCGGGGTGAACATTAGAATGGGTTGTCACCGGCAACGCGTCTATGTGCCAGGTTTCAGCTCGATAGTTTGACGGGAAGTGGGCCGACGATAGCCGTCCGAAGATTTTGCCAGGCAGCCACGGACAAAAGCATAAGGATTTATTTTTTTTTTAAAGTTGTTGTTGGACAAATTAATATCGCCCGGTGGTGTAGTGTATGAGGGCTTTTCCGATTTTAACATTTTGAAAAAAAAATGCATTTCAATATGTCTGAAAGAATTCGTTTCTACCACGGTATTCAAACGCGGATTTGAAGAGACTTTGCTACATGTAATATTTAATTACCTTTCCATTTACTTCTTTTGAAAAGTATACATTTTAAAAAAAAAACTTTCTAGATATTAATTATCGTTGCAATGTAAATACGGTCAGGGGATTTGGGGGTGTTTTTTTTTTTAAATTCGTTCTTTGTTATCATTCCATTTTTCATTTTACACGTTAATAAATATATTTTTTTAGGAGATCCTCACTGCTCGGATCTTGAACAACGGTACAAGCGATTTGATCAACATCTGAAGGAGGACATGTCATGTGATTCAATGTTTGACGCCAGCGAAACCGCAGAGGGGGTGGACAGCCCCATCTATGGGCGATTAAGAATTCCAAAGAAAACAAATGATGAAAGTGACGATTCAGTGGACATTGTCCAATGGTTTAATTAGACGTCCGCAGATTTACCAGCCAGCCAGTCACCAACACAAATGAACTTAATATATATGATTATTTTAAAATTAAAAAAAACCCGCCATGTAATAATAATGTGTCAAAATAAGCCATATAAATCAGAAAAAAATTGCAAAAGGGCAATGTAAGAAAGCGCACCATCTTGTTACTGAAGCCATTTTAAATTCAGTAATACCATGGCCCCGTGCGGCGAATTCGTCACTCGTGTTGTTTTGACTATCCGCACGCCTTGAAACAAATGAAATTTTGTGTCATCAGAGATTTCAAAATGATACAGCCGTGGAATATCCAATCCCGTCAACGATTTCGTCAGTTTTGTATACATAGTCCGGTCGTTATTAATATGAAAAGTCTTCAAAAAAAAATATATAAAAAAATAAAGTCCCCCAAAAATCGTTGCATATCTCTACGGGAACAGACAACCAAAACAAAAATATTTATTTTTTTTTAAATAAAGAGAGAAATATTTAAAAAGATTTTTTTGTATTTTACATATTTTTATATTAAAATATTAAAATTTATACAAAATAAAAATTGTATGTAACATTTTTTAAAACCTGCGCCAACAACAAACGTTTTCTTTGGAAATAAAATAACTGCTTTCCCAGAAATACTCTTGCTCTTCGATTCATGTATGGTCGGCCTTGAAGGGAAGGGGCCTACAACACCCACGAGAGCCCCGTCGTCTCTACAGGGAGAAGAAGAGGACATCGTGTACCCGGTGAGACCGGGACGAGCGCCCTAGGGTCACAAGTTCCAACTGATCCAAAAAAAAAATCTGGTTAATCACAATGACTTTTTACGGAGCCCCCGGGAAAAAAATGTACGGTTCAGATAATCAGTCCATTGTCACTATCCTTTGATGGCATGACTATCACTACTTATCAGTTCCTTGTGACTCCTTTTTGATAGCATGATGATCGCTACTACTACTACGAATCAGTCACATCGTAACTTCACTTTGATATCATGATTATCACTACTATTCAATACATTGTAAAATCACTTTGATAGCATGATTATTATTACTTATCAGTTCCTTATAACACCTCTTTGATAGCATGATGATCGCTGCTACTACTACTAATCAGTACGTTGTAAAATCAATTTGATAGCATGATTATCACTACTAATCAGTACATTGTGACTTCACTTTGATAGCATGATTACCACTACTAATGAGGGTGATGGGTGGGCCAGCGGTCAAAACTGATTCAAAAGCTGGTGGTCTTTGGTTCAATCCCCTTCAAAATCTTAATTCAAACCAGGAGCCAGAATGATCAATAGATTGATCGTGGGCACTCAATATATATATATTTATGAATATACTATCAGTACATTGTAACTTCACTTTGATTGCATGATTATCATTACCAATCAGTACATTTTAAATCATGATCTTTGACTTCATTACTGTAACTGGGCATCACGTCATTATCAGCATTGGGGCATGTTGTAGCCTTGAACGATCTCCTGGGCGTGTGCGCTCTTCACTGTAACAATCCACAAATGTACTTTCATTGATGGCGGTGTGTGCATCAGAATCACTGATGTCGTGGTTGCTGTTTTTATTGGTGGCGTTGTCAACATTGTCTGAAGCGTTCGATTTCTGCTGGACACCGATCGCGCAATCGGCCGGGTTGTCGTAGTCGATTTTGAACGTCAGCCCAGCCGACCGAGACTCGCGGTGATGAACCCCGTTGCTGTGGATCTTCGTCTGTTCAGCGTCGCCGTCGCAGCGTCTCGGTGATGGCGGCTGAGACGCATCACACCTGTCCTCTTCCTCGATGGTTGCTAAGCTGATGCTCAACATCGACAAGGAGCTCCGGGAACTCCTGTTTCGATACCTGCGGAAACGGTAAATGAATCCGATGTATATAGATTTAGAAGTGAGAGGGTTGTGATTGTATGTACAGAGCGGTCATGTGACTTTTTGCCCCGTTTGTCGTTGCACGGAAACCGAAAATGCCGCTCATTTTATTTATACTTTGGAAATTCATAGGGGAAAATATTATACGAGAGAGCTTCCCCCCTCCTCCCCCACCCCCCCCACTTTTAACACATATAAAACTTTCGATTGGCATGATTGACCGCTGTGATAGCTCACGCCTAAAAAAATGTTTTTAAATTTTAAAGAGATCAAAATATTTAGATGTTCCAAGCAAGTGAACATTAGTTCTTAATATTAGCTTCGCACATCACAATTTTTGCACAACCGCAAGGGGTTGCGGGGCCCCCCACACCACGGCTCTGTGTATGTGTGAAACTTTTTATAATTATAATATGAGCATCTATTTCGACTGATATGTTTCAAGAACATAAGCGGGTAAACGGGATTGTAAAGATAAATTACATGAGTTAACAAGACATATTTGAAGTGAAAGGGGACGTCATGTAATCCTGAAACTCCAAGATACTTGATACAAGAAACGAGCTAAGTGCGTTAATTTAAAGAATAAATGAATGAAAGAAACGAGAAAGAAGGTAAAGAAGGGGGAAAAAAAGGATGAACATTTAAAGATGAAAAGAATGTTAAAAGAAAAAGGAAGCTTTTATTTTAATTCTCGATGGAAAAGACATTTATACATAGCTACGGGACACTGTCTAATGTTGGCTGTTTCCAGTGATCCTTTCTATGCTGGCTGTGTCCATGGATACTTTCTATGTTGGCTGTGTCCATGGATACTCTCTATGTAGGCTGTTTCCAGCGATACTTTCTATGCTGGCTGTGTCCATGGATACTTTCTATGTTGGCTGTTTCCAGTGTTACTTTCTATGCTGACTGTGTTCGGGGATACTTGCTGTGCCCGCTCTCTCCCGAAAGGCCAATAGAAGCCCTTTATTATTATTACTTAGAGTTTATTTAAAATATTTGAACTTTTTTTTTCTTTTTTTTAAAGCCAGTAAATACAATTATTTTATACAAGAGTTTACCATTACCTGTTGGGTAGACACCCGCTACATGGTAGAGTGAGACGCACTTGATGCCCCCCTGGCCCACACTGGTGGTACAGGCCATAAGCCGCCGACTGAACCATGTACTGAGAGGGCCTCATCAAGATCTCCTCATACGTGGGTGGAAGAGACGGAGTGTAGTACACCGAGCCTCGATCTGAGAAAAAAAAGTTGTGTGTGATTACGATCATTTTACAGATCTCTTTTTTTTTTTTTATCTTCGTCTGACACTAAAGAAGTGTTTTACCGGACGTAAAAAAGGGGGGGGGGGCGTTGGTCTCATAGGGAAAGTTGGGGGGGGGGTCAAATTGAAATTTATATGGGGCATTTAGGCTCTGATAACAAAAATGTTTTGACAACGTTGAACATGACTTGTTGTTGCTGTTGTTTTTTTTTTTGTTCTTTTTAAAGTTAGCCACAAACGTGTTATTATTATTCACGTAATGGGACACAATCATATTTGACGTACTTCAAGTTGAGTCTTGTGACGTGGAATTTTAAGGCCTAAACGGGCCGCAACTTTGAAATTCAAAATTAGACAACAGCAACGCTATTGTTATAGAGCTCTTCAGCTTTTTTTTTTTTTTAAATATATATTTTTTTGGGGGGAGGGGGTGGGGAGCATTCTCCTGATCCGGAACTGTCATTATAGCATATCTCGACAGGACACCATGACAGTGCTATGACCAACATACCTGTTTGATTGGACACCCTTATGGTGTTATAACCCGGGGGGTCGTCGGTGACCTTCTTCTTTAAGCACCCAAACGTCCTCAGCGCCCTCCGTCGCCTGTTCCTGTTTGAGCACGTGCGGGCGAACCAGACGATGACCAGTAGCGCCACCCAGGCGCCCACGGCAATGCCCACCCATGTCCCCTCTTGGGCTCCATCAGAACTGGTAAATACAGATTAAGTTACACATGCACGTTTACACTTGTGTCCGGAAAAAAAGGCGACCATTTTTATAAAAAATCAAAGCTAATGGTAATTTTTTATTTTTTTTATTTTCTAAAATGATGTTAAATTTTATTTAACTATAGGGCGTGTTAGAAGTGTTACAAGTTTAGCTACAGCACATGTTTCAAGACGCGATGTCCATTGACCAACCATTATCAAAAAGATTCCCTTTTTTTTTCTTCCCCACGAACACAGTACATGATAACTCATAAGGCATGACATGCATTTAGTCGGGTCGGTAACTGTCAGTGTCGACCCATGAGCACCAGGAAACAAGCGGTATTTACCTTCGTTTCAATAACAGATCCATTTGTTTAGCCGTGTAAGTGACAAGGACGTGCATTGAGCAGGATGTTTTCAAGTTGTTAGCATACACAAAAATAAATGTAGACAGTAAAATAATAACCATTTTCAACATCAATGTATACACGTGCTTGCACAATTTGCTCCAATTAAAAGCAACCATTATTTTGAATATCATTGCAAACCTTTTCTCGCAAAATTTACTCCATTAAAGCAATAATTGTTTTGAATATCATTGTATACCTTTACTCGCAAAATGTGCTCCATCAAAGCAACACATTTGTTGAAACATAGCAATAATATGCATCACTCATCCAAGCTACTGTGGTGCAGTGGCCAAACACAAATCTTCCGGTATTAAATACTGACATTGCTTTTAAAGACCCGTGTCTTCTGAAATGTTTGCAAATTTCTTTAAAATTATAGGAACCAAATTTTGAAAGCTTTAGATGAGTTAATTCAACACTCGTTTATTTATAGTTTTTCCCCACTGAAGTTTGTTTATTTTTTCCCCCCATGATCCATATTTTGTGCCGTAACGCGTATATGTTTCTGAGATACATCCTTACATCTCCACAAGACAACTACGTTCTTCCATTGACAGTAGAACCCTCTCAATCCCAAGAACTAAAACTAAGACCATCGGTGAACGCTCCTTCTGCTTCCATGGGCCCACGTTCTGGAACCAGCTCCCCTTCCATATACGTCATAGTGAAACCTCGTCCATTTTCAAAAAGTCCCTTAAAACTCATCTGTTTAGGTCCGCCTATGACCTGTGATGCACCCTCCTTGCCCTACCTAATTTTCTGTTTCGGTTTAATCCTGAAGTGTCAAAGTGTCCTCTTTTTATAGCCATTTTCATTGTTTCTATAGAATAGTAGTTACTATCCTAGTGTCTCATTTGTATTTACTTAGTTTACATGTTTTAATAACTGTAAAGCGCTTAGAGCTTTATGATAAGCGCTATATAAAAATGCCTAAATAAATAAATAAATATGTGTGGGGGAATAAAAACACAATAACACATTTGATTGATACCTACTTGTTACTTGTTTCTTTACAATTCGTTGAACCTGGAAGGAAGCCAAAAAAAAAAATGTGTAAATTTTTTTTTGTAAATAGAGACTACACGTTGTTATGTGAAAGGATTGTATTTGATAAATATAGCTCAAAGGGAATAAAGGGGTGCGTGTGTAGGTTCTCTGTCTCAATCCTTTTTTCCATTTTGCAGCGGTTCTCAGCCTGTGGCTCGCGACCGCTTTGGTGGTCGAACGACCCTTACACAGGGCTCGCCTAAGACCAGCGGAAAACAAATATTTTTGAGGTAGCAAGGAAAACTAATATTATGGTGTTGTTTTGTTGTTGTTGTTGTTTTTTTTGGGGGGGAGGGGGGGTCTGACCACAACATGGGGAACCCTCTTAAATGGTTTAGGCATTAGGAAGGTTGAGAGCCACTGAGATTTTTTTCTCGTCCTTCGTTTTAAATCGGTAGCCGGTCAAAGTTATGAGATCGGAGAGTTGTGGGATAAAACATTTATGGGCTTCTGGCTCATGGCTTCACACGTCAAGGAATATGTAAGGGACCCCCCGGGTGCCAACTGTCACTGCCATGTGTCAGTGGCAACACAGTCTTAGCTGGATTTATGTTTTCCCCCTTCCAAGTACGACTGCACAAAAATGGTCTGAATAATACATTGATCGGGGAGTCTCTTCTAACAAAAAAAAACAAGGGCAAGGAGCATTTCAACAATGGCGTACCGCACATACTACATGCGATGGTAAGCCAACAGCCCCCCCCCCCCCAATATATCTTTAGCAAACGAAGGGCAAAATTTCAAAGTATAGACCACCAATTTTAGCCAACCATTTTCAGAATTTTGTTCGTTTAAATAATTGGAGATACAATGAATTTAAAGTATAGACCACCAATTTTAGCAAACCTTTTGTTTAGATTTTTTTTCCCGTTAAATTCATTTACATGGCTAACCTATTTCATTTGATAGCCAGTTACTTAAACGAAAAAAGAAATTATAATAAAAGGTTTGCTTAAAATTGGTGGTTTATACTTTAAATTCATTTGATATCCAGTTATTTAAAAGTATAGACCACCAATTTTAGCAAACACCCTTTTTTTTTTTTGAATTTCTTTTTTCGTTTAAGTAACTGGATATTAAAAGAAATATGTTTGCAGAGTAAACATTCTTTTATATTTTTTTAAAACCTAGAAGGATAAATCGAGCGGCAGTATTGTCAAGAAATATTTCATTAGATAAAGCATTTGATTTGATCAATATTTCTTATCCTTGTCTAAAGATTACAAATAACTTTTTATTCTGACATTGAACTCGGGACACTTCGTCATGGCTACAAAATAGTTTGTACATAATCCTGACTCGGGTTTCTTTTAATGAATTCATATAGCATATATTTCAATAACACAAGGCATTTTGTGTTGCAACATTTTACAGAAACTATTTCCAACTGAGAGAACCTTGGACAGTTAAATACACGCAGCAGCCAATCAATTTGACAGCCACATAATGGTGCCCTACTCTTTTCATATTGAATGCCAATAGCCGTCTAGTCAGGCCTTTAATTACTTAATAGGCCCCGCCCTTCGGCGGTATTTAATTTTAACAGTAGCGTTTTCTGATTTATACGCATTATGACGAATTTTACTTTTCATTCGCCACATTTGTGGATATTTGTGAAATCGCCCAACCCTCATCTGGGAACGATTATTCAATCACGATACTTTTCACAAACGTTCAGACGTCAAGTAAACTAACACTCGACACAGTGCTCTCATGTAACGAGTAAAACTATGTCTTACGCACCGCGCACAGGAGAGACGTTCAGTTTTGCACCGATTAAAACTTATATAGAACGTTCGTGGCGGACCTTGCCGCAGCGCATATACATGGATGTTTTAGTGTGTTTAGCTCATATAAGGAAAAACACGAGCGTGGATCACCGGATCCAGATATGTCCCAAGACTCGCAAATGCGTTTATTCCACCCTTCACAATCTCAGGAAAGAAGCATAAAAAAACAACATTTCAACTACCGCCATCTCACCACTTGCAACAAACTACATCCAATTAGTGAAATAAAGGTTACATGGTTACATTTTTTAAAAAAAGCTTTAGCCCGCATGGAGTTGTTTCAATATATACTTTTTTTTTTTTAAATCTACGAATTAGCTTTTATCAAAAATAAAATCCATAACCATGCACGCCGACTTACCTGTCCCAGCACAAGCAGACATTCCACTTATGAGATTAGTGCAAGATGATCCAAGGTATATCATCAGAAGTAAATCCCACCGTAGCCTGTAATTAGAATTGGCTTCCTACCAGCCATTGAACACCCTGCCTCCTACCAGTCATTGGACACACTCTGCCTCCTACCAGTCATTGGACACACTCTGCCGCCTACCAGTTGAAGGACCCGCGTTGTTAATGGGTTAATTCTAAAGGGTTGGCACGTCCAGGAAGCGAAGTACGGAACCCATCCGAATGAAAGTTCAACAGGAGGAATGAAAAATCGTTTCTCAGAACTTCATTCTACAAAAGAAACATTGGTGACTGTATAAATATATATATATAGGTTATATAAATTGATAGTCAACAATTTGGTCGTTAGCACCTTATTTTAAAAACAATTTTTTTTTTATGCTGCAATGACATTGATGCTAATCGTATTTTCAATGTGTCGCTTTTGAAATAAAATTGAAACCAACTTGGAAATATGAAATCAATTTTAAATTCCACTTCTGTAAATAATGTCTGAAATCACTCTGACATACACACAACAGTCTCAAGCTTTGAGACACCAAGCTATATAATCCTTTACGAAACGGATTAGCTCTGCTGCCTGAACTAAGAGGTAAATGGCCTGTCATTTGCATTTCCCGATTTTTATGCCTGTGTCATGTTTCCAGATTGTTCACTAGGAAGAGGCAGTGCCGTAGCATGACTTATGTAGACCCTCCCCCCCCCCCTTTTTTTGACTCCTTTTCGGTTGTGTGTCCCTGCATTCGAAGTTGATAGTTAAAAAAATGTTCACCTTCACAACATTGGGCCCCTTAAATAGACTAGGCCTACTGACTTGATCCGTAGGTTTTGTGGGGCCTAACCGACAGCTCTGCCTGCAAGGGTTGCAGGGCCCAAGCGACGGTTCTCACCGCAAGGGTTGCAGGGCCCAAGCGACGGTTCTCACCGCAAGGGTTGCAGGGCCCAAGCGACGGTTCTCACCGCAAGGGTTGCAGGGCCCAAGCGACGGTTCTCACCGCAAGGGTTGCAGGGCCCAAGCGACGGTTCTCACCGCAAGGGTTGCAGGGCCCAAGCGACGGTTCTCACCGCAAGGGTTGCAGGGCCCAAGCGACGGTTCTCACCGCAAGGGTTGCAGGGCCCAAGCGACGGTTCTCGCAAGGTTTCAGAGCCCACATGACGGCTCCGAGAAAAGTGTGCGTGTTTGTGTGTGTCTGTGTATGTGTGATGGGATGGGGGGGGAGGGAAACCTCGTAGTTTTGCTGTCAACATTCCTATTTTCATGAGTATTGATATTTACCTGTCATTTTGGGTTTTGCTACTTCAAAGATCTTATAATGCCAACTTAATTCTTAACAATAAAAGTTCACGTTTTTTTGTCGCGAAACCACAAATTCTTTCTCCGCGTGCATGCCACAGGGGTTGCCAATCGGGTTGAACACACCAGTCATGCGTCCTTTATCGTGCCCTGTTGCCAGACTCTTACCCTGTTCACTGTCCGGCCCCCATTCTGCACACACTGACGCCTGATCCCAAAAGTCGCGGGCCTGTTTGTTCTCTGATAAAACGTGATTTAAACTCCCGTCATGCGACAGTTATTGGGTAACGTCAGAAATAAATCACGGCAGACATCAGCTGTTAATGGAACTGTTGTGTCGCCGTTGTGTGGACCGTGACGCAGGCGCGAAAGCAAGGTCACGTGAACTGTCAAACATATTTTTAACCTTGGAACTATTTCATTTTCTGATACCTGCTACACAGTATTATAGATGAGTTGTGATTTCTTTGGAAAGCTGTCACAATTTAATTTGTGCTGGTCTTACCCCCCCCCCCCAATCTAATTTTCAAACAAAATTCTTACCAATTTTGCAAGACGATAGCCTCGATTACTAAATTATACCCATGCACACGTTTCTAATGCATGTCTGTATCTCCGATATTCAGCTTTTTTTTTTTTTTTTTTTTTTCTGTTATTTTGTTTTTTTTTTTTTTTTTTTTAATGATAAAGAGATTAATGCGCGGTACTTGCAAGATGCGTGTAAGTTGCTAGGATAGCACGGTGTAAAGAGAATTGTTTATTTGAAAAAGTTCTTTTCGGAGGTCGTCCTGGGTGACATTTGGTCAAGGTATGCCCCTGAGTTTGTTTATTTGCAAGCGCAAAACACTTTTTAACTGCTCATCTGGGCTGGGTGTCTCCGAGGCGCATCGAACTTACAACGTATCCAACATTTGGACGCAACAACGGTAGAAACGATAGTGATGAAGATAATATAAATCTAAGAGCTTTAATGTGCAATGACTGTTGTGTGAACTTGTTATTCTACCGATGCATCGAGGACCTCATCACGTGACCCCAACTAACGCCAGTCGCGTACAGTTTGTGTACACCAATCATTAACCTGTCCAGCTGTGTCCGGGACGGTTGCGACCATGTCGATTCTGAGTCCGGCTTGTGTCCAATTCACGGCTTCTGACATCCAAACGGACTGACAAATGACAGTACAAAACGTACAAACTTAGTGGGAAAACACACACAGAAAAAAACATTCCGGAGTCGACATACCGGTAATGAACAAGACGATGACGTGGTTAGAAAATTTTGGAGACTCTGAGTACAGGATCTGACAATTTAGAAAATTAAAAAATGTCTGTGAATGTAAAAAAAAATTATCAGTTGGCTATTAATTAACTTGAACAATACATTGCTTTGGCCAGTAGAAGATAAGCACGGACGTCATTTTGGGTAGGGCATGGGGCATATGCCCCCCCCAACTTGAATTTCTATATTTTCCTTTAAATTGCTATGCTCTTTGCGCCTCCGCTAAAAAAAACAACTCAACAAGCCGGCAAAAAATTGGTTTGGCAACCTCCCCCCCCCCAACCCCTCCTTGAAAAATAACTGAAATGACGTTGCTGAAGTTAAGCTTCGGCTCGTTGACGTACAGTGATCATTAACGATGTGTGCTGCGAGCTACAATGACGTGTGCCGCCAACAACAACGACGTGTGCCGCCAACAACAACGACGAGTGCCGCCAACAGCAACGACGTGTGCCACCAACAACAACGACATGTGCCGCCAGCAACAATGACGTGTGCCGCGAACAACAAAGACGAGTGCCGCGAACCACAACGACGTGTGCTGCTTGTCGGGAAAAGCACCACATTTCGGGCTCACTTGGCAAAACAACAGCACACAGCTTCTTGCGTAGCGCCGGAGTCGATGGAATTTTGTGAACTGTTCGGCTCATCCTTGTTTAATATTGAAATGAAACCACACCGGGAAGGTGTCGCGTTAACGAGAAAATATATCTTTTTGTTGTTGTATCAATTGAGACGAAAAGAAGGGATATTTATTTATTTATTATTTATTGATTTATTTATTTAGGCATTTTCGTATAGCGCTTACCTTACAGCTCTAAGCGAAAAAAAAAAGAAAAAAAAAAAGAAAAAAAATATATGTATGGGATATATGTCCATTGGAATATATGCCCATTTATTTAAGCATTTTCGTATAGCGCTTAACTTACAGCTCTAAGCGAAAAAAAAAGAAAAAAAAAAAGAAAAAAAATATATGTATGGGATATATGTCCATTGGAATATATGCCCATTGGAATATATGCCCATTGGAATATATGCCCATTGGAATATATGCCCATTGGCATATATGTCCATTTTTCTATGATCGTTGTTGTTCTCCACACGGTTGCAGTGTTATTTTTTAACATACTCTTCAAGGAGGAAGTTGTGGCATCAGGTTCGGCCAGATTTTTCTCTATTCGGATTCAACTAGATTAAATTAAGATGAAAGATGCAATTGTTCATACCGTGAAGCTGCTGAGGCTAAAAAAAATTATTTTTTTCCATTCAGACTTGATCTCCGGAAAAACTCCGCAAATAAAGAACATAAACAAAGTTTGAATTTAATAGTCGTATCCAAACAGAGGCGTAGCGAGGGTGTGGCGCCCGGAGACAAGATTCGCGCCCGGGGACAAGATCCATTTTAAAGCGCCCCTTTTTCTTTTTTTCAACCCTCAAACCCATTATTTTCATCAATAAAATAATTTCAAAGCATATTTTGGCGCCCCTCATTAGCTGGCGCCCGGGGACATCTGTCCCCCCCTGCCACCCCCGCGCTACGCCTCTGTATCTCATCAAAGTTGATGAGACATAGGATGTTGCTAGGCAAGTGATGTTGATAGGCATGATGTTGCTAGACCTATGATGTTGATAAGACCTATGATGTTGATGGACGTATGATACTGATAGACATGTGATATTAATACACATAATATATTAAATGGCATATTTGTTTGAAAGGAAACACATTAAGCAAAATGTCTCTTAAGTTATTTTTCTAGCTCATAACAAGAAGACAACCCTTACGCGACTTCATCTTTTCAGAGTCGAATTCATGTACCTGATGTTGGAGTCGTCAAGAGATTTCGAATCCCCAACGCATTCGCTTACATTTGTATAGCTGCGCCGTTTTCGGTTTACATTACCAAGAGAACTTTTAAATATTTATCTTTTATATTAAAGACTTCCAGTCAGCTCATTGTGACCTATTTTATTTGTGAACGACTTAAAAGTAACACTTAAATTAACACAAATTTTAAAAAAAAAATATTAAAAAAAACTTAAAAACAAATTTTTCCGTTTAAATCCTTTTCCATGCATTTGTTAAAAATCCTTCATATTAACTTCACTTTTGTTCGTGGCTGGCTGACAAGATCTTCGGACGGCTAATTGGCCCACTCCCCCCTCAACCTACCCAGCTTAAACTTGGCACATAGACTCGTAGCCCATGACAACGCATTCTTCTATCAAAATCAGTTGTTTTTTTCCTGATTATCTAGGGGAAGATGAAGGAAATATGATGGTGTTAAATTCACGAACAGAATTCCCGATAACTGCGCTATTTGAGATATGTGATAAAATGTACGAACGTACAAAAGTTTATGGTACAAAGTATGAGCGTACAGAATGTTGTGGTGCAATGTTTGAATGTACAAAAGGTTGCGGTAAAATGTATGAACGTACAAAAGGTTGCGGTACAATGTATGAATGTACAAAAGGTTGCGGTACAATGTATGAATGTACAAAAGGTTGCGGTACAATGTATGAATGTACAAAAGGTTGCGGTACAATGTATGAATGTACAAAAGGATACATTAGTGACTGTCATACAGATTTGGAAATATACCGACCAACAAGAGTGGGTGTATGTGGGGGAGGGGAGGTGAGAGAGGAGTTGCGTGATTCCAATCGGTGAGATTTCAAGCAGCAGACGCAATTAATCAAAGATTTCAGAAACTCACGTGAATAACTGAACAACACCACAGGTAGGAATGGTGGGCGGAGATGACCGTGACCTGAGACAGGTAGGAAGTGCTTAGTAGGAGACACGTAAATATTCTGTTTTCTATACTTAATCAACGGGTCAACCTCTTATGTTGTTTCTTAAAAGGAAACTCAGTTCAACAATCGAGTGTAGAACAATATTCTAGCGGCAAATGATTACTTAGAGATACAGCGCTTCTAGACATAATGGTGAAGATAATCAGTGAATTTTTTTTTATTGTGCTGATTT